AAAATGAAAAAGTTATTGAAGATTGATGATGAGTTATCTCGTATGTACAGCGAGAAACCAATCTGTATGAAAATGTTGTTTATCGTCATGGTTTTGAGTATTCATATTTGATTCTTAACTTTTTCTATCTGATGAATCTTTTTTTTTTTTTTTATAAAACTTGTTTTAGAATGTCTTATGTTAAATAGGATTAATGAAAGATAAAAATTACATTTCTCTCGTTTAACAGCAAAAGTATCAAATTATTCAGATTAATTTCCAGATGTAAAACGGAAACGGAGGAAATGATGAAAAGCTTTCATGCACAGACTGTAACGCTAATTGAAGTTATGTATCATATATGGTGCACCACCAGGTAAAAGAGTTGATAAGCTGGCGCTTTTTTAAATTTCCTCGGACTTGACGTTACGCTTGATCTTCATAGTGGATGAAAACCGGCATATTCTCGCGAGTCGGAATGAAAATTGCAGAGCTATGATGCCGAAATAGCCACTATTTGTATACGTGACGTAGGTTCCGTCCACGAAGTGAGAAAATGAGAAAATACTTGGGAAGATACCCGCGCCCGCATAAAATTGTGTCCATATACGCCGGCAAAGAGAGACGATACTGTAATCAAACTCGGTGAATTTTTGAAGCTGCTGTTCTACTTGCTCCATTATTCCACTCGGATATCTCGAAGAGAGGTAGGTCGAAATGTATGTACTATGTACATACATGTGCTAATTTAGAGCACGTAAAAATTCGAGCTATATGATTGAAGGAGCCATGTGAATAATAATGCACCTCGAAAATTTTAAAAATGTAGCTTCGCGTATTCTTGATATCAAATAATGATATATATCATGCACGATTTACGATCGTACAAATAATCACGACGATAAGATTCATAATCATGTTAAAAGTTATTTATAACTGTATTATTCTTTATCTTTTCTAAATATGAAGCGATTATAATCTAACATAGTGCTGGGCATTATTATGTAAAAGTTTGAGCGACATAATGAGAGTGAGATACAGTGTGAATGTATATCAAGAATAAAGCACATAATTGTGAAGGAATGTTTGCTAAATTATTAAAATTACATATTATAAAAACATAACGTATATTGATTATATCATGAAGCAAAAATCTCTCAATCGAGCTAATAATAATCGAACGATTCGTAAAAATCCAATTCTTTTGTGGTTAAACATACATGTATACATGATATAGACAGTACATCTTTATCGGATTGAAATAGATCGTAAAGATTTTATGCTAAATTTCACTTGTTAATTTTTTTAAATAAAAAAATTAAGATTATAGGAAATAATTGAGTGATGTCTGTGTAATATAACTAGTATAATGTAGTTAGAAATTCTTCTTCTAACTAAATTTTAGAATTCTTCTAAAAATTCTAGTAATTAAAAAATAATATAAATTTTCTCGGATACATTGAGATAAAATTTATTAGAGATAAATATTTAACGAACGACTTATGTCAAAATTATTTTAAGGCTCTAATGAATAATTTAAATAATATATAGATAAGAACCGAAGTATTTTTGCAAATGAATAATATCAACATCAATCATCCAATACAAGATAATCAAATTTAAACAAGATAATCAAATGCAAACTGAATATGTAATATGAACTGAACATTATGTACTCAACATTTATATCAAACATTATTCATAGTCGTAAGAATATTTGTAAAATTATTATTTTGTATCTATACTTTTTTGACACTGAGAATGATCATAAAACTAAAAGTATGTCAAAACATCTGTTTTATTATTGTTGTCTTTGATTATTTAATACTGATATACATCAGAAGGACACTTAACTCGGGTCGAATAGCCCTTGTTTATTTATTAGTTGGTTAAACATTTATTTGAATTTGAAGTATTGAAACGGAGGATTATACGCTCGCAGAAGGCGATAAGAAGCGCGTGAAAGCTAGAAAAATTAGTTCTCTGTGATGTACATTAATATAACTACGATATATAACGTAATCATAAAAATTAATCTGTTTTGTTATAAAGTGTGGAAACTCACAATCGTAATTCTGGATTTAATCAGTCTTAAATTCTTCAATTCTCTTCAAAATTTGGAGGTAAAGATTTAAAAAAGACACTTTAATGATTTAATTGTCTTGTTAAATATATATTAATATAAACGAAATTTATTAAATGATGCGTATATTTTATATTGTCATAGCAATTATCGTTAATTATTACACAAATTTGTGTAACAAAAACAGATTTGTTAAGAATATTTATTAAGAATATTAATTTTATTTGGTAAAAATAATTTCGAAAATTTCTATCGTTATAATGGAAAATTCTATTTCATTTTAGCGGCAAATTGAATTTGTTTGGTAGCAAATTCAAATTTTTATTTCTATAGATTTATTCAATGAGATTTCTTAATAAAAATTGATTATAATAATGGAGATCGATTACTTTACGTTGAATTCAATGGAACATTAAAATGGTTTTTGTGACAGTGAAATCTTTTCTTTCTGAGTATGTTTCGTTCTAAAAAGAGGAACACTTTTAAATCATTTATGTATGAGTCATTTATGTATGCAGCTCTATTTTCTTTCCACTACATTTTTCGTTTTTATCTTTCAGCTTTTTAGTCGCTTCAATCAGTCGCTTACGTCTTAAGAAACTCGTCGTATTATAAAAGCGCAACAGTCAATCTGTTGCAACTGAGTAGTCATCATATCACGCTGGAAAAAGTTCAAGTTCCTCTTTCGAATCTTTGCCGTTAATATTAAAATGATAACAACGAGTTTTTACGAAGAATAAATTATTAAGAAGTTCTGAATATTACGAAAGTAAAAATTTTATTACACGTAAGTATGCAAAATATAAATCAAATATTATTCTAAATAAAGCGAACAATGTTTTATGCATATCTTTTAATACGCATATATACACACATTACATACACAATACATATATTCTATTCTTACCATATTATTTTTTAGATTTCAAATTAATTTAAGAATATCTCTCTCTCTCTCTCTCTCTCTCTCTCTCTGTGTGTGTGTGTGTGTGTGTGTGTGTGTGTGTGTGTGTTGTGTGTTATTAAAACATAACGAAAATAAATAAGATTATATATCAAAATATAACAATAATTAATAAAATTAAAAAAATAACAAAAATGATTAGCCAATGTCAATATTCCATCTATATAATGCTCCAATTTTTATTTTTAGTAAAAATAAAATCACTTTAATAAATAAATATTAAATGAAATAAATAAAAGAGATTAAGATTTTTGAATTCTAAAGTGTTGGATAAATGGAGCATATTAATTTTCGATGATAAAACAGAATTGGATAAGAGACATGTATAAATTTACTTTCTTTAAAACTCTAAAATAGTCTTTTTAAAAATTAAAGTAGCTCATATTATTACTAACTAGAAAGCATTAATTAAAAATTGTCAACTTTATTATCTGGTATATAAAAGAGATAACATTATTGTTTTATACTTTTGATCGCTACAATTATTATTACTCTTTACATTTAAGAAAGTCCCATTGTAGGGTCCCACGTGTTCATCCATTTATTCAGTATTCATATTCTTATTCGGACATTCGCGTAGTTCATCAGTATTAAACTTAGAAAGAAAGTTAGCCACGGTGTTCAGTCCGAAACTACTTTATACTTTTCTCATTCGCTTTTAAACTCCTTGCACGGTAAGTTCTTCTAATGAGAGGTGATATATTTTAAATTCATTGAATTTAAGTTCGATTCTTTTTACTCTTTCGAACATTATATGCTTAAAAAGTTATCCGAAGAACTATTACGTTGTCGCTGCCAGTAGTGTAACCTCAATTGTAAATTAAGAGTCGCTAGTAAGTTGTCACTACTAATAACATGGATCTCTCATTTTCTTGTAACAATTCATATTTATACAAGATCCAAATATTTCTATGAAGAATCTTTACGAAATTACAATTTAAATATTCTTTTCTTTCTCTTCGACTATTAAAAGATTTGAGAGGATTAGCCAAGAGGCAAGTAATAAATAAAAGTCGTACGTTATTTAATATAGAGAAACCATTTGCAAATAATTGTTCATTCTGTTTTCTTTTTTCCAATCGCTTTTTCCAATCTACTATCATTTTAGTAGTTATTCCAAATGATATCTAGAGACACTATCTTTATAGGTGTCATGTGCAAAGATTACGTCATTGTAAGTTCAAGTGAAGATTATTACACATATTGAATAATAAACGGGTTATATAAGACAAAGCAATGATTTTATATAAAACGCCATTAAATATGTCATGTTAAAAAAGCATGCATGCACTTCTTATAAAAATTAATAATTATATAGTTACATTACAATTTTAATTAAAAATTTTATAATTACAGAATAGAGAATAAATCTCCGATGTTATTGTAGGGATTGTAGATGAGAGAAAGAGAGGGACTTTGATTAATTAGCAGATCGTATTTGGTTTTAAAAAAATATTTATACAAATGTAAAAATATCATTTTTCTGCTTGTATTCCTTACTATTATTTTCTCTGTAAAAAATAAAATATATACATTTTATCTAACTATGTTAAGTATCTGTATTTGTTTTGAATATGTAGTTTATCTTATAATCGTTACAGATATAGACATTAGTTTATAACAACTATACTCATTATTAAAAAGATCTTCTTTTTATGTTTTGTGAAATTTAATAAAAATTTAATTGCTTATAAACGGATGAGAAAAAGGTTACACACACACACACACACACACACACACACACACAAAATCTATATGTATATGACTACAAAAAACTACAATAATAAACAGTAAACATTCGTGCAAAAAAGTATAGGTCAATAGCAATTAATGTATTATTTGTTACATAATGTTTATACATTTTAAAATCCACATCATCAGTTTAAATAAAATCGTCATCCAGTGATGTTCTTATTTTTAGTCTAATATTAAGATTATCAAAAGTATAACGTAAATGTCAAAAATTATTTTTATTATAGATATTTCATCACAAATATCTGAAATTATCTTACGCCGTTCAATTTAGAAGATGGCAAAATTTCATCAACTCCTAAGCATCACATTAATGTTTTATTCTTGCTTATTAACAGCATCAAAAACATTAACGTCTGACCCTGCAGACCAGCAAGATGATTATTTGACGTTACGATTAGTCAGCACGGTGATATAAAAAAATCACACTTCACAAGAAATATATATATTTATATTAGGTGTTGGAATTAATTCGTAGCGTTTTACAAGTGATGGGAAGTACTTTCATTAATGTATTTTTTAATGCTCATGTGAAATAAATAACATTCTTTCATTAAAAAACGCTACGAATTAATTCCAACACCTAATAATATATATATTTTCTCAAATGTATTCAAAATTAATACAATTAAAACGTGAAATTTTCAGGTCTTTAGACATGGCGATCGTACAATGGACAAGATAAATCGCGAATCTTATCCGAATGATCCATATAATGGTCGTAGTTTCTACCCAGTTGGAGACGGAGACTTAACTAATGTAAGATCTGATTTACATTTTCAACATAAATATTATATATTACATCGTTTTATTTTTTTTTATCAGTAAAATAATTTTATAACGTGATGCATCATGTATTCGATCTACTAACAATTACATCGTAACAATTACATCAATATTACCTATAATTTCGTACTCAACAATACAAATTATCACACGTTGTAAATAATAGCTACATTATTGAATAGAAAATTAGAATATAACATCAGAATACTGGTTATATTACTGTTAGTTGATGTTTATTGGAATATTTGATAAAGTAATCTTCAAAAATTATATTCAGATCATCTTATACTTGTTATACATTTTTTTAATTACGGCAGATTTTTTATCAATTTATAGTTAATTTTTTCATAGCGAAGGTATCAAGGAAAATTACAATTTTATATAACTTTACAATTTTTAATCTCATACTTTTTAATTGCGTCCCAAATTAAAATTTTATTTGGACTCCATTTGAAACTATTTTAGAAATGTAATTTTATTATTTATTTGAGTTCAATTTTGCAAAAATTCATTCTTTTTTAATTATACTTAATTCGAAAATCATAAATGTCTTGATAGCATCGCTAAAAAAAATTACTTAAAAAAAAATCTCTTGTCCGAAATATGATGCGCGAAAAGTGAGACGTTCTGTATACATAAATTAGTATTAACGCTTGCATTGCATCTTCTGCTCTTCGTAAAGCTTTTCGTAGTGTATCATAGCGAATATACTGCCACACAAGTAAGTACGTCTGCAGACATAGCGGAAAGATCAACATTTTTCTCATTTCTTCATTTTTGCGTGGAATACATTACTTCTTTATTTCTTTAAGTTTTTTTTTTAAGAAATATTAATAGCATGTCGTAGTTTTTTTTCTTCTTTTTTATCTTTATTAACAATATTTAAGGCTGGCAAGAAAAGAGCATACGAATTAGGGCTGCTGTTAAGAAACAAGTACCACAAGTTTCTCGGAGATTTGTATTATCCACCGAATGTCTACGCACGTAGCACGTGGGTAACTCGAACCAAGATGACCCTACAATTAGTTCTTGCAGCGCTTTATCCGCCTGCCGAAATTCAAAAGTGGAACTCGCAGCTTTCTTGGCAACCAGTAGATATGATATATTATCCAATGGATGAAGATGATCTGCTATTTCCAATTAAGTGTTCTATGTAAGCAAACCTCTTTTCTTCAATCAATATTAATATAAATAGTTATACATCAACAATAATGTTTCGATTATGTCTGCATTCATACGAATATTTCATATGGACGAGTCGATTATTTGTATTCTTTGCAAACATGAAGCAATTAAATAATTAATGCAATTAATATATTGTATAAAAATATCTTTCTGTAGATATCTTTATAGATGTCTTAACGATTCTTAAGATTTGATAAAAAAATTATATTTTGAAAAATATATGTATGTAATGCAAATAATATAACCTAAATTACAAATAATAAATAAATTACAAATTATCATAATTATTACGTAATCAAGATCACAGATCACAATAATATCAAAATGACATTAAATCATGAATAGAATCGTGATTCTGATCGAAAAATAACTTTTAATGACCATTTTAAAACCATTTTACATCATTTTGATGATTTTTTGTTCTGTTTGAATAAATTATATATTTCTTGTTTAAATTATTACTCGACAATAATATTAAAAATTTATTCTTATGTCTTCAATAGATACCACGATACTTACAAAAATGTGATACAAAATGCAGAAGTGAGAAAGAAAATAGACCAGTATGACAATTTGATGAAGATGACGTCAAAGTATACAGGAACTAATATTACAAATCTCTTGGACCTTGCTCGTTTGTATGGTGTTTTACATTCAGAATTAGCTATGGGATTAACTTTACCTAACTGGACGCAAACTATATTTCCGGATGGCGAACTTTTGAATGCGACTCTTTTATTGTTTGATCTACTTAGTTACGATCAATTAAATAATCTTAATGGAGGCATGTTTAAATAAAATCTCTCATATATTGTTTATAAGTTTATCTAATTATTAAAACATAATCCTAAATTATTGAGAAGTCTAAAGAAAGAGCTTAAATTATTAGAAAGCAAAGACTTCAACTAAATTGTATTGCATTATCAATTAACCTTTTTATATATTCCCATAAAATATTCATATAATATTCAATCTTTTGCAGGTGTGTTATTAAATAGATTAATTAACGACATGAATAAAATGATCAATGGAACTCTACATCGCAAAATTAATCTCTTCTCCGCACATGACATAAATGTATTTGGATTGCTACTTGCTCTAAATGTTTCCGAACAACATTTACCAGAGTTTACGAGCAGCGTTATTGTAGAATTACACGAAAGAAATGAGAAGTATTTTGTCAAAGTAAGTGTGTTATTTTTATCTGCTAGTGACAACGCAAATAATATTTGACTAATTAATAACCAATGGATAATGTTTACTTCTTACAGATATTACATTATTTAGGTATTCCACCGAAAATATTAGAAATTAGCATTCCCGGGTGTGAAGTATTATGTCCATATGACAAATTTATCGAATTAACTAAGAATACAACTGAGATATTTAAACAATCATGTTATCCAGATGATCAGAAAATAACCAAACCTCATATTTCCACACCATTTGATAGTAAAAAATAATAGAACACGCTTCGAAACTTCAAGGTTTTTTTTATAAAAATTTACAAAATTAAGTAGCTATTGTAATCTCTTTTTTTTACAAAATATTTATTATTCTTTTATCAGAAATAAAATTAAAATCAGTCGAGGTATTATATTGAAAAGATGAGAATTTCTAATCTCATCATTGGCAATTCAATTTTATTTAAATGAACATAACGAAATAGTTAATTAGAAAAGAAATTTTATAATTTTACAATACCTTCAAATTTAAGGTACAATAGCGTCTCTCATGTAATAAAATCGGCGCGCTAGTTTTATTACATTTCCCTCATTATATCCAGTATCGTACCGCCGAAAACTAGATGCCCATACGATCGTGGAAAGTTAAGTTCGTTAAGTATGCTCAGAGCCGTGTCTTATCGAAGACACGGAGCTCAGATCCTCCGCCTACCGTGCCGTAGCATAACAATTACCCTATTATTTCGCACACACCACCGCGGCGATTCGTTGGGCCTATACACCGCACATTTCTGTTCCACGATATACTCTCAACTTCCATTAAGGCTAAATCTTTTTGGCTGTCGCGTAAGCAGATATCAACGTTGAAGTTTAATTTGCTCTTCTATTACCGTTTATGTTAGGCGATGAACTTTATTTTGATTTGATATTTTTATAAGAGACAACGATCTTTTATAAAAAGGAAGAAAATTATTATTAAAATATTCAATTTATTACTTTTATAATATTTTATAGATATACTTTTTTATAAGTATATGTTACACATATTATATACTATAGTTATAATGTAATATATGTTATTATATGATATACATATATCGTGTAATGTAAACTGAAATTCAAAATATTCTTTATTTTTTGTATGTTGCTTGTCAACATAGTTTTATTATATTACTTGTTGTATACAACAAAATTATTGTAAATCTAAATCTCACAAATAAAAACATATTGACCTATCTGTTCTTACAAGTCTTAAGAAAACTGTTCCTACAAATAAAAATCATACCGAGAATTTAGAAAATTTTTGTAAGAGATATAGAAACGATGCCAAACAAAAGTTTATCGTATACTGAATTAGTCGCGGTGTTCTTTCAATTTTGAAAATCATTGCCGAAACTTGTCGCCGGAAAAGAATAGGAGGTTTCAGCTATTCTAAAGACAAAGTTCATCTTTCTTTTTCCCTTTTCTTTCGTGCCGGACCATCCTTTTCTGTTACCCCTTTTTCTCCTGTAATCCCACTCTCGCTCCGTCGGGATAAACTCTTGAAATTTCCGAGAGTTGCCCGGATGAGAAGAACCAGTTCCGCACTCCTAATTCTGCGGAATTAAACTCGCGAAATCGTTCTAATTGCGGATACAGAGCATCGGGGCACTTGCATCGAACGAGTTGCATTGTACTTTTAACGATGTAATACTACAATTGAATTAATCACCATTCAATTTCCCCAACACAACCGTTAAATTATTTTTATGCTAAAGGTCGATTATTATAACGTTAATTTACAACTGCTCAAAAATATATTACTTTATCGAATACGTCCTACACCAGAAGAAATATAAATCTTCCTTAATAAACTCTAATTAATTGTGTGTTGAATTCTAGTTAATTTTTCAGTTTCTTTATAATTAAATCTTGAATTACAAATTGATTCAAGTATGAAGTTATTAGCCAGTTTATGAAAAATTAATCTTCCTTAATTACGACATTATTCGAATTCGCGTTTCTGTATACAAGAAATGTAAGAATAGGTATTAAATAGAGCGTTCCGTAAGTTCCTAGATGAATGCATGACACAACGGCCGAGAAAATGCAAAATTTGCCGAAAAGACTGCCGTACGGAAGTTAGTTTGAAAACGCACAATTTAATTGAACATTCGTAATAATTTGTCTGCACGAGAGGGTGCTAACTGAAACTCCGCGGTTTGCGTTCGCGTGCGATTCGTCGGCAGCAAGGAATTAGCACGAGCTGTCGAGTAGACAATACGGAATTAATTATAATTAACTGCCATTCACAAAAGTTTCCACGAACAATTTTGTGGTCGCACCATGCCGGTTATAATGAACTCTCTCCTGGCAGCTCCTATCATTTACATACTCTTACATTCAAACTGGGTTTTCGTTTGGCTGCTGCGCTGGTTCGCGACAACCCCAAGAGAAACTTCTTTAAATTATGCCCTTTGGAATATACCATGCCTTCGGCATGACGTAGAGTATAATGTCCGTTGAAAACTTTCCACCGGCACGAAGAAATATCGTTGCAACATCTAAAAATGCATACGACTGATTCTTACCGTCAAGTAGCAGAGATTACACATTTTGAAAGAAAAGCCTAGCTTTTGACAAAGGAAAATTACATAAAACATAATTAGAAAGATTTTTGTGTAATTCATGTTACATAAAAATTAATCATGTACATTATTATTTATTGTAGTTATATTTATTATAATTATATTATAGTATATTTATTATATTTCTTGTCATATTAATTAATTTATATACATTCCATAAATTTACAACATTTTTATATAAATAGATTAATCCTTGATTCAATTTTTTAAATAATTATGAAAAAATTTTTTATAAACCTAACAGTTGTTTTGTACATTATTTATATGTCACAATTTATGTGTGATAACAATAAACGGCTACTGGCAGCTACGGAATAGCTCAGAAATAATTAACTTAATAACATTATTATTTAAAAATTTAATAGTATTAAATTAATACTAATATTATTTAAATGTTTTAACATCAAGTTACACGTAACCAAAATTTTTTACAAGTCGATATTCTCGCATGCGTATCGTTATCCTTTCGTTGGAGGTTTTCTTCATTTCAAGAAGTAATATTGGCCATATGGTCCTTATATTTACGACTTTATCCTACTTGTAAGAATCGTTTCTGTATTGTCCTACCGTGTTTAATCAATTTTGCGCAGAGGCTCGTAAGATCATGTACGATGATGTGTTAGTTGTCATTAAAAGAACAAGAAACAAGAAACTTTATATTCTAGTATAAAAAATAAAGAACATCCACGTAAAGAATATCAGAAAAGTTCTTTTTATTTACTGAAACATCGATTTCAATTAAAAACCTATAACAACCCAGCACACTCCTCGAAGAGGCGTCTCTAGACATTACATTCTAAGGATGTTCCCAGGACGTCCCCTAGGATAAAGTGTGCTGTATAGGAACAGTACCATTAAATTAAATTAAATTAGATAACATCTTAGTTCGTAAATAATGATGATTTGCAAACTACTGTATGAGTTTCAAAGTACATCAAAAGAAGGAAATACCTAAATTTCTCTCACTTCCGTGACATAATTCGTAATTTTGCCGACTAAATTGTGGGGGAAAAAAGCCAGCGATTATCTCGCTTATGTAGATGTATATGTATACGTGCATAATATTAGAGAATGTAAGTGTGGCACCGAGCTGACGTTCGGTAGTGCATTATCAGTTCGCCTCGCGCTCATAGGAAACCGCAATTTCCACAAATTACACGGATGAAAACTGACTCTTGCGACTGTACACCATCGGCTACAGCGCGGTGGAATTCATGGGTCGCGGGTTATGCCGCATTCGGTGGTATGTAGTAATTAGCAACATTGCTCCCAGATCTCTCGTGGATGGGAGGATCGAGCTGAGGGCCGAGCGAGGGGGTGGACGAGCGGGGGCCGACGGATTCGCCGACACAGATTTCATTTCGAAGGAATAGAACGCAAACGGCGGCGATATTATCTTGCCTCTGTGTTGCGACTGTGACATTTAACGATCGGTCAGACCAAGGTTCTCACAATACCGCCGGAAATTCAAACAAAATCATAATGCTGTCACCTTCTTAGTCTATATTATTTTTCTTAGTCTATATTATTCTTAGTCTTTGAAATTATACATATCATTCATATTGACATAATTTTTTTATTTTGAAAACTCTTCATCAGCCAAATAACATCAAATTTTCATAATTCTTATAATTTTCTCTCACACAAAAAAAGAAGTAAATTATGAATTTTCAGAGCCAGAGTATAATAACTTTTGTGAAGTGAATTATATTTGCCTTTTTAAAAATTTTTCGTGAATTGGATATCATTTGTGTATAAACAATATGGCAAAAATAGAAAAAGAGAACTAATTAGTGTTCCAACAACCTGCAGATTGGCTCTATCAATAACTGATGATACTGCATCAGTAATTGATGAAATATTATCAATTAATATAAATAATTCTAACGAACGTGATTTATAAATAAAACATAAAAAAGGAGCATGAAACCATAGCACTGGATGTTATTTGTGAAATTTAATTATTCATTAATAAAAAATCTTTAGACGTTTCGGCCACAATCTGGTTATCTTCAGTAAATCACAATATTAGTAAAACGCAGAATTTAGCAGAAATACGTACTAAATATTTAATACTTCTAGCAAAATTGTTTTTTATAAAGCATTCATACGTTTTAACGAATTTATAAAGATTGGATGTACTAGACACTACACGCAAGGATTAATAAAGGATTAATAAGAATCAATGCAAAGAAAGAACATATATCGAAACGTTCTTTGCAATCGAAGCATAGCTGTATGAAAATCAGCTGTATGAAAACTCAATTGATTTCTCTGCGATTTCCATGAGAGAAAATAATCTGAAACAAGACGCACCGAGTTTTGCTTCTGCAGACGTCTTTCCCGTCGAGTTTATTAAAACGCCGTGCAGCTGTAGCTGAATTATCGCCTGAGTTTCCTGTTTTGGCTCTCCCGCGGCAAAAAGCGCGCGTCGCGCAACGGGAACGAAACAATTTGACCGCCTTATTCGAATTTACTTTTCTCCTGCACATTCCGCGCGCCCGTATCAGCGCCGTAACTTTTGCCAAGCGGGGGCAGGCAGTCGCGCCATTACTTCCGAAGCTAATGTACCCTCACAACGATCATTATGTAAATTCAAGTGTGATAGAGCGTCCCGCCGGGCTATAATGCGAGCGAAACTTTTTTACGGAAGCTAATCAATTCATTTATCGTGTACCCGATGTCCGCTGTTCGTTGGGATACGATGGTACAAATATCAAGATTGTCCTTCAGAGAATAAATTCCCGCAGGAAAAGAACTCACGAGGAGCCACGTGGCGTCACGTGCCGACGAAAATTGTTTACCTACAATGTTTCCACAAATCTTCGCAGACGATAAAAATGCACCGCGATTGCGAACAGGTCATTTTCAAAGTGACGTTTAACTCTTCGTTGACATACTGAGTGCGAACCACCCACGAAATTATTTTAACTCTCTGAAACTCAATTTTCTTTTATTTTGAAGAACAAAAATACAAATGTTTATAAAAAAATTTCTGTTTTTTCAATTCCCAAAATAGCCTACATTCAATATGTAAAATAAATATCCTTTATCCAAAAAACCAACTTATTTTCTTTTTCAAAGTATCTGAACAACAATTCTGTAAATTTTTAACTTTTAATATTGAAATTTTTAAAAGTTACAATTTTACTTGTTTTTTTCTCTATTCATTGAACTCAAGAATTTTTTTTCACAAAAACTGTAATAAAATTTCAATCAAAAACTATTTGAATGTATTCTATAAACCTTGAAATTGACCCATAATTTTTTTCATATTGATTGGATTTTTTAAATAAGAATGTCAGTTGTTTAAACATTGTTCTGAGTGTGAGTCATTCAGTGTGTCAAAAAATGATCAAAAAAGGAAGTGTGTCAACGAAGGATTAATATAATCCTCCGAAATTGACTTTCAAAATCTGTAACACAATTACTGACCTTGGATCTACGTACAAGATCTATTTAATTTACGTTAATTGAAAGGCATTAATTAATTTCAAGGAACCATAACATATGGCTCATTATAAAAAAGAATAAATATAAATATATTTTAATAAGAATATCCAAATTTGCAGATGTAACATGAAGAAAATCAATATCGAATATAAATCGAAATAAATCGAAATTAAGGTAAATCTCATTATACATTAGTGGAACCGGATAAAGAATAAAAAAGCTGGCCTAAGGAATAGAAAGAAGAGAGAATAGATGAACGCTCCTATAATTATATCCAGAATTAAACTCATCGGGCGGTGATTTCCCCACGTCGGAAGCGCACAATATCGGCAGGCCGGAATCTCTTTATCCATCCGCATCCGCGAGCTCGCCGAGTGTCGGTGGACAAAAGTGTAACAGCGGGAGTTAGACGCGCTCGATTCGAAGGAGAAGAGGTCGCGGAGCGCTGGAAACTTTCTGCGTTGATGAAATTTCTTTGGGCGAAAACTTCACCGCGGGGTGGCGGCGCGACGATGACGAAGAAACCGCCACAAAACCGCGCGCAGTTAACCGCAGACAAAATAAAGGGGGGCGGAAAACAAACGGCCGATTATCTTTCTCGTCTTCGCGTTCACGCGCTTTCCGCGACTCAAACTCGTTCGAGGAAAGAATCGATTCCTCGCGCGAGGAATCGATTTCTCACGCGCCTGCGCGTCACATCGTGCGAGGTTGACACACGTTGACCTAACACACTGTTTACTCCGCTAGTCCGCGCTGCTCCACGTAGTAACGTGTTTATGTTTATGAGTAGTCCTCCGCGGTCTTCCGAGAACGTCTGGGAACAGAACGTGATAAGGTAACTTTTTGCCGTGATAAGTTGACGAAAGACCGCTTAGTTCGATTTTGCCGCAACGATTTGTTTTTATAAAATCGTGTTTGCGTCTTATCTTAATCTTGTTCTCCTTGAGATATATTTGTTTTATTTTTTGCTACAATAGAAAAGCATAACATAAAAGAAACGAACCATGCCGTGTGTTTATAAACACATATGTAAGACGCATGAGAGATTCTGGTCCTCTATTCTCATCATGATTTTATGTGTTGTTATTATTACTTTATTTTATCTCCATGGTTTGTTGTCTGTTCAGACTGTATCAGAATATACGATGGCTCAAAGTGATCCCAGAATCCCGGATTTGCAGGATACATTTACTCCTTTTGGTTTACCATTATCTGGAATATATAAGCGGTAATTTTTGAATTGCTTAACTCTGTTTCGTTCAACTTATTATCAATTCGATAACCTTTGATACAAAGATATAATAAAAATAACATCTTTTATTTATGTTACAGAAGTTACGCTTATGTGACAATCAAAGACAGATTGTCGGTGATATTAACGAAAATTATTGATATACTCTGCCAGAATAAAAGCAAAATTGTAGATACATACAATGAGGTAATCTTCATAGAAGCAGATGTGTGTGTGTATGTATGTATGGATGTGTGTATATTGTGTATGTGTATATTGTATATGTGTGTGTGTGTGTGTGTGTGTGTCACATAGCAATCAGTTTCCCATGCCGTTATGCCTTGAGACACAATACATGTTATTGAATTACAGAATGCTGAAAAAGATATTAAAGAGATTATAGGATTCATAAGTCAACTGAAAACTGAGATCATTACTAACAAAGCCTTGAAGCCACTGCGTTTAAATACCAAAGCACTTAATGACGCCGAGGAATGGAATAAATATCTAGAGTACAGAACATGCGTAGAAAATGGAATACCCACGTGGTTCAATACTGTATGGTTATATTGCGAATGCTATATGTATCGTATATTAGCTCAAGAAATTAGTTTATTGTAAGTTTTGATGTACTAAACGTAATATGAATTTATAGAACAATCTAAAATAACATATAAAATATCATAACATATAAAAAAAAGAGTATAAAACCACAGCACTGGATGTTGTTTGTGAAATTTAATTATTCATTATATTAATAAAAAATCTTTAGACGTTTCGGCTACAATCTAGCCATCTTCAGTAAAATCACAAATATTAGTAAAACGCAGAATTTACATATATCTGACATTGAATTCAGTCATATAATATAAGTATGTATAAATGTATTCTTTCATCTTGTTAAGGTGTATCGTACAACAATGTCACAGCGCCAATTATCATGTTGCAAGTTATGTAGAAAAAGAATTTCCAAATTCTCTTTTATAGACAAAATGATGGATCTTAAGCACTTCCCTCACGCAGATGGAAATTTCTCGTGACATTGTCTATTGTTATTCGTTGTTGAATAACAATACACAATGTCACGAGAAATTCGTTGTTGGAATAACAATACATAATGTCACGAGAAATTTCCATCTGCGTGAGGGAAGTATTTAAGATTCATCATTTTGTCTGTAAAACAGAATTTGGAAATTCTTTTTCTACATAACTTGCAACATGATAATTGGCGCTGTAACATTGTTATACGATGCACCTTAATAAGATGAAAGAACATACATATTTATATTATATGAAATTCAATGCTGAATTCAATGTCAGATATATGTAAATTCTGCGTTTTACTAATATTTGTGATTTTACTGAAGATGACCAGATTGTGGCCGAAACGTCTAAAGATTTTTTTATTAATGTAATGAATAATTAAATTTCACAAACAACATCCAGTGCTGTTGTTTCATGCTTTTTATATGTTCGATTTATAAATCACGTTCGTTAGAATTATTTATCTAAAATATCGTTTTGCAATTCTAGGAATACCATGCACAATTACGATCCATTTGAGTATCAAAAGCAAACTGATTTTATTAACGCCATTGAGTCTCTGGACTTAATGATTGGCTTGTACATAAAAGACATACTGTGCAATAAGGAATATAATAAGGAAAATTCAAAAAATGATTTTCTGAAATTTTTGAAATTGAGCTTATGGGGTAACAGGTTGTACTATTTCTATCTAATTCTAATATCTTTATATTGCATTGTCAATAAACAATGATTTCTATATTTACAGACATGATCTATCTGCAACTGCAGGAGCTCCTTCTACTCAGATTGATAATCCACTTGTGCTAATAGAGTCTTTAAACAAAAATATAGTAGTAAATGATTGGGAGAGCATATGGAATATTGTGAAAAAGATGAAAAACGATAATATTCATATAGTACTTGATAATGCAGGATATGAATTGTTCATTGATCTATGTTTAGCAGCTTTTTTGGTTACTGTTGTACCTACGACTAAGATAACGTTTCACGCAAAATTATATCCATGGTACGTGAGTGATACAACTATTCATGATTTTCTCTGGATGTTAGATTACATGAATGCACTAAACGATCGTCCAAATATACAATTATTGGGTAAAACATTCAAGAATCTAATGGATCAGGAAATTTGGTCTGTTAAGGTACATTTAATTTGTATCCTCTGAAACTGTTTAGATTATTATGTAAAATTATGTTAAATATAATTGTAACTTTTTATTACACAGGAAGAGCCATATTGGACAGGACCATACGATTTTTCGCAAATGAAAGAAAAAGAAAAAAATATATATGCTGAATTTTCCGCTGCTAAATTAATAATATTTAAGGGTGATCTGAATTATAGAAAGCTTCTGGGTGACGTAAATTTTGATTACAAAACAAGCTTTGCAACTGCATTGGGAAATTTTCAACCTACAAATATTTTGAGCTTGCGCACCTTAAAATCCGATATTTGTGTTGGATTACCAAATGGTATGGCTGAATTCTTTGAAAAGCATAAAGATAAACTGATAACCGGAGAATATGCCGTCATTCAAGCAGCTTTGTTCAAAATTTAAATTATAATAATCTTTAAATTATAATGATCTTTAAATTATAATAATCGTTATCTTTAATTATCGAATATCTTTGAATTGATAATCGTAATTACTGACGTTTATCATTGTACAAATATATAAAGTTATATAGCACAACATTTGTATATATACAGATATGCATGAGAATATATATATATTGAAATATTTATAAAAAAATCTTTATATATATATATATGTATATATATATATACATAAATAAAATCTATAGCTAATTACAAATATTTTCTAGTATTTTACACTATAAATTTTCATCTATATTTTGTATATTACTTTGATATATATAGTTATGTGAAATTTTCTTATAATAAATTCAGCCATTAATACAAATGTTGCTAATTTGTAACTAATTTGTACAATATAATGATAAAAAAACACGATAACAATAATCTCTTAATAAATATTTATAAATTGTCATTATATAATAATGATTATCTAATTTTTTAAAAGTCTGTAAAATAAAAGTGTTGAGAAATTATGGTATTAAAATTTTTTGTTGTTCCATCCTCATTACAATTAAATATGTTCTTACGTGATTGTTTAAAGTTATATACTATTTTCTGTTATTGATTATCTATTCAGAAATTATGACATGCCTTTACACAATTCTTATAATTTAAAACACTGCTCTCAATCTTATTTCATATCAATTGTTATCAACGATTAAGTACTATCTATTTAATTAACATATTACATATAAATTGAAAGAGAAATTTAATAAGAAGTAATAAATGTTGATAATTTCTTATTTATTGAATTTTAATCGACGGTATATTACATACGTATGTGCACATAAAATTATAAAGCAAGTCTGTAAGAATATAATACTATATTTATATCTACAAAATATTCAAATATATGAAATTAAATTTTCTATGTTTTGATTTAAATAATTTGACATTAATTCGACGCGTTGTATACTTTAAGTATAATAAATTTATCACAATAAATTATAAATTTTAAATTGTAAAATATAGTTTCAACAAATATGATCTGATTTAATGTCCATATACTTATTCGTAAAATGAATAATAGACTAATGTTTTAAATTGGTATGTTGAGATTTTTTTTTGAGAAAAAATTGAGAATACGTTAGAATTTTTTATTCTTAAGTTTTATAACAGATTCTGATTAACATATTCAATATTCAGATATAAAGATATGTTCTTCATTGTAAAACTTCAACTGCGAATAATGCGATATATATATATATATGTGTATATAGTTGTAGATAATAGATTTCGAAAGAGATTTAAAATCTCGCACATAGCAGTTGCAAATATTTATTTATCATTGTTATGTGATATAAAACATTTACTTCATAATTAAGTAAAACTTATTTCACTGTACTCGATTTTTTGTATCAAAATATCATGAAAAAGATAGATATTTTACCAAGTGGCGATAAAGCTCTCCCATCAATGGATTTTAAGATTAAATGTAATAAAAAATTTATGTGTATATTAGAGTATTCACAAAAACTTTGAATAAAATTTATTAAATATTGTTTTAATTACTTGTAAATATATTCATTATACTGTAAAGGCTACTGTAATCATAGTAATTATAATCACTACAATAAAAGTGAAGTAATAATAATTATTACAATACATTTTAATAAACAATTTAAATTCATTAGAATTTAAGTATTATTGTCATTACAAAAAACTAGATTTATATGCTAACATATGCTTGTCCAGCAAGCATTTTTAGATGGAACAGTATTTTATTAATATAACATTAAACAATCTATCTATTAAATAATTTTTAATATCCATAAGTAAAGAATGTGTATGTATGTATGTATAATACTTTTACGTACGAATATTGCTTTTATATCCAAGCATAAATGACACAAAATCATTAGTATAGATTATACTTATTAAATTCGAATAATCGTAAAAATTGGATTTAAGTTATAATTTTTCTCTAAAATAATATTATAAATATTAAAATAGTGATTATAAAGTTACTTAATATCTCACTATATTATGTAATCTAATATCTTTTTATTCATGTTCAATCTAACAAAATGTGCCCTACAAAATTTATTTGAAAAGTAAGTGCAAATCATAACTAAAAATACTTAAAAAAATATTATATACTAAAATATTATATACTAAAATATTATATACTAAAAATTAATTCTGATTATTACTCTGAATTACTATTTATTCCCCTATTCATTTTCAATAAAGAACTAAACCATAAAATTTAAAAAAATATAAAACATAAAATTTACAAAAAAATTTTTTTTAAATTTAAAAAAGTATAATTTTTTAATAAAATGCATTCTTTGTTCTTATAACTGATTAGCTTCTAAATATCTATACATTTTATATGCATCTTTCTACATGATATATCAGTAATCAAGAAAACAAGTGAATAAACAGAAATATTTGAATTTATATTACAATAATTTTTTGACAACTACAAATAGTTTGATACATTTTATGCTGTTCTTACAATATACATATATCCTATATATGTTTCTAACTTTTTCATACATTGCTTGTAACCAGATAGAACGGATTAATCTAAATTAAAAAATCTTCACTCTTTACCATTTTGCAATTTTTGCAATTTTTTTTAAGTTACCCAAGCA